CGGTGCATTTGATGTATGGTCCTGGTAAGACTTTTGAAGCTGACATGGAAAGACAAGAGAACAAATAAATCTGTTTTGGAGGATGTACAGCCAGAATGCTCCATAGAGGATGATGATGAGACCTTGTCTCCCTCTCACGGACTTTGGACATGTTATCAGAAGAGAGCAGTGCTTGGAGAAGGACGTCATGCTTTGCTTGGTAAAGGGGAGGGGCATCGAAAAAGAGGAAGGCCTTCAATGAGATGGATTGGCACAGTGGCAAGCAGCAATGGGCTCAAACCCAAGAACAACGTTGAGGTTGGCGCAGAACTGGGCTGCGTCCTGTTCTGACGCACAGGGGCTTGCTGTGCGTTGGGAGTTGATCTCATCACACAGCTTCGGGCTAGCTACCCGAAGTTTGGCCTTTCAACAGTTAGTTATTGAACACAAAGGGCTGGGCCTCCATTGAGAAACCAAACCGTCAAGGTCCCTGCCTGCGTGAAGCAATTTCCTTTGAGAGGCATTCCTACCCACTCAATGGCACGCTGTCCGTGAGCAGACTGCCCTGCACCTCATGGCCCAGGCCAGCAGGCAAAAGACCCAACCTGAAGTCCATAAAACCTTAAAAGCTCATAAAACCTTAACCTGGCTCGTCCGAGTTAAAGTAGAAAAAGGCTAAAGGGGAGGAGATGACAAAGATCAGAAAGAGCCGGGGCGAACTCGAAGGAGGAAAACGGAAGCCTCTCCTTTTTCTTTTCTTTCCATTTTTAAGAAGCCCCTCCTTTCATTGCCAACGATTCAAATCCAAGTGGATTTTGACTTCTAGCAAGCAAAGTTGTAATTTTCAGCCACGTCACAGCTTTCAAAGAGGAGCGGCTAGTGGGTTTGAACTGCGGATCGTCCAGTTGGGCTCCTACTGACAAGCAGAGCAGGGTGTAACTCTTCACCCAGGGGTGGGCGCAGGGAAGAGGGGCAAATAGGAGGGGGCAAGCTGAAAACCGTCATGGCCTCTCTTTTCTTTGCCCCACATTCAGGCCTCCTCTTGGGCGCGGTCCAGGCCAGCCTCGCCTCCGATATCCCCGGCTCCCCAGGGAACACGCTCCCAGCGAGCAGCCGCCGTTCCCGCCTCTGCGCTCCGGCGCTCGCAGGACCGACGCCGGAGGGGCGTGTCTTCGGGCGGCGAGCTCCCAGGCCCGCCCCCCGCGCCAGTTGCCAGGGAGCGGTTGCCATAGAGCTGAGCAGTTGTCCGCGTGCGCAGGCGGAAGTCCCGGATTGAGACGCCGCCATTTTTGCTGCCCGGACGCGGAGCGAGAGGCTGAGCGAGTCGGAGACGCTATCCGCTTCCATCCGTCGCGCAGACCCTTCTTGAGTCCCCGCCGCTATGGATGATCGGGAGGATCTGGTGTACCAGGCGAAGCTGGCCGAGCAGGCTGAGCGATACGACGGTGAGTTGGGGGGGCGCCGGGGGGCTGGAATTCTCGGACCCTCTGCCGCCGCCCACAGAGGCCGGGAGGAGACAAAATGGCGGCG